CGCATTCTAGAATACTAATATAGCCACAAGGCTATGCTAATTCAGAACTTTATTTAATTTAAACTAAAAGTAGATTTTATTTTTCTTCTGCGGAATAAAAAACAAAATCTAAAAAGCTTGGGGTCTGTAAGATTTTTTTACTAAACAAATACTCAACAAAGACACATTAAATTGATTATCAAAGAATAAAAAAGGATTATGGTTTCCACAAAAATATTAAGCAACACAAATTAAGCAGTTTTCTACACTGAAAATAATAAAAGAAAGGTTTTTAAGTTCAAAATCATCATATCAGAATAATTTCTGAAGGATCATGTGACACTGAAGACTAGAGTAATGATGCTGAAAATTCAGCTTTGCCATCACAGGAATAAATTACATTTTAAAATATATTACAATAAAAAACAGTTATTTTAAATTGTAATAATATTTTACAATATTACTGGTTTTACAGCCTTGATGAACATGAGCGACCTCTTTCAAAAACAAAAACAAACAAAAAAAGCTTACCGACCCCAAACTTTTGAATGGTTGTGCATGCTGAGTGTAATAGGATATTCTCTGAAGAAAAATAGTGGGACTTTATCCATTATCTTGATTTTATCCATCAGGAATTGATTGGATTGTGCAAAGAGGAAAGATTACAATTATATTTTGCACTGGAATGATGTGCAAAAACAATCATGCACAATAAGACCAGAAATGTTTATTAAGAATGTATATAGGGTGCATTTTGATTTCATGTTGGCTTCATTTTATTTTTCCTTTACAGTCCATCTGTCTAGCCATCAAATGTCTCTCTAGTTTTCTCTGTGGCCTACTTTCCCCTCCATGATTTACTTGACCCACAGAACAGCTCCTTTGTGCTGCTGTGAGTGAGCAGGAGATTTGAGCTGGCATATCAGCCACTCATTCATCCAGGCATCAATTGGAATGAGCTAGAATGGAGAGTTAATGCATGTTTTGTGTGCCAGGCCTGGTAATCCTCCCTTCAGTCTCTCCAAGCCTTTGTTTTCACATGCTCCCTTCCTTTTCCTTTTGCCGTTAGTTTTGCTAACCCGGCACAAAGCAACAGTATCAGTGCATTTACTAAAACAAGTAAATATGAGTTTTGCCAAACGTCTTTCTTTTCTGCCATTAAGGTTTTTTATTATGTGGCCTATAAATAATGAAGCCTTAAAGGGCTGAGCATTCCGGCATCAATTACTATCGTTCCAAACCCATATAACTTTCATTTTGGCTGAAGTAATCCTTTTAAATTGTAGCACAGGTCATTTTATGGGGATGTTGCCCCTAGCACATGAACATTACTATCACAGTGGCCTTTCTGAAGGTGACAGGACACTCCCCCTGCTAGATGTGGCAATTAGACTTGACATTTATAGAGGAAGAAGACTCTTAAAACAACCCCTGCACTCTAGTGGGTAGCACCCATTCACACAGACACAACTAGAGCAGCTGTCAAGCAGGAAAAAGACTGCAATTGCTACCCACTGTGGGTAGTTATATATATACTGTATATACAGAACAACTTTTTGAAAGGAGGAGGAAGTCATTCAAAGCTATTTTAGACTCATCGTGGCCAACTTGTGAGCATAATCATTCCAACCTCGAAAGGTTGGACGTTAGATAACCAGACCAGCAGAGGTTTTTTGCTAAACCTAGTGTGGCTTATTTTTACAGGCTTGTACCTCAATAAGCATATGAGACAGACTTCAGTTATTTGTGAATTTGTGCCAGAGGATAAGAGCTCTGCAGTTGGGGGCTGCAGTTATGTTAGGTTCATAAACATGGTCAGTGAACGAATTCATTTGAGAAAATGATTATCAAAAACTGTGCCATCGTGGCAGTATGCAAGAAGGGCAACTACAATCTGTCATATTTGCCCATGAGTATGTGTGAAGTGCCTGGATATATAGACCATCCAGGTGTCGGATTGCATTGGTCACGTTAAGCTCATCCACAGTGTGGACGTGACCACAGTAGTGGAAACATAGCTGTCACATACCGATACATTTTTTTTTTACAAGATATTACACACAGTAGCCAGTAACGGCACTGACTTATGAGATTTTATGGACTGAATTATCAAGATGATGTTGAATCTGCATGCTTTTTCTTGTTTTTTGATTTTGTGCAAAAATATGTGTAATGGGTAAACATGAGTAAATAAGATAAACAACACAGCTAAGAGTACTATGCTCTTATTGGCAGCTGAAAGCATAATCAAATTAACCAAAATATTTCACAAGCAAACACTCAAGGCATGCAATCAAAGATTCTATGTTTGCCTAACAATTATTAGCTTTACACTAGTAACCAGATATCCTTGATGCATGATAGTTTTAATCTTTTTTTTATGCTGATTACTAGTTTATCCCTATATTATTAAATGTCTCGCCTTTGATGTACCAGGAGGAGACTGATAAAAGTATCAGATGAGAATAACGGCTGTATCAATAAAGTTGTGGCCACATTTACCGTCATACTGGTGATTTTGGACAGTGAAATTCAGTCATTTCAATAGAAATCCATGCAATCTGGAATTTCACAATGGGTTCAATTTGGACATGTGATATTCACTGCAGTGACCAACAGAAAGCTAATTGGTTTGAAAGTGACTTCTATGTAAACTGTGCTTCATACAGTACATTGCTAATGACAATTAACAATGGACCTTTTTTGCTAACGTGACAGGACCTTAAGAAACAAAAGCATTCATCCATTTGCACATCCCTCGGATTTCTAAGCCAAGTGGAATTTAAATGCAACTTCAAAAAATAAATATTTGTATCTTTGATAAAGTTGCATGATTGTAGTAGTTTAAAGTGTTTGATTGAACTCTGTGGGGGAAATCATTACATTTAGACATCCATAAATTTGGACAGTCTGTTTGTCTTACTTAATGTTAAGTAGCTTTAATTTCAGATGATACCAAAGGTGGCCCATGAACTGATTAAATTAGTTGATTTGATTGTTCTATTAGTGTTGTAGTTTGGAGTTAAGCACTTTAGAGGGGATAGTTCACCCCAAAATGGAAATTCTGTCATCATTTAGGCCTACTTACTCTCATGTTATTCCAAACCTGTGTTAACCTGACTTATTATTATATAACATTAAAAAATGTTTGGTGACCAAAAACAAAAAAAAAGCTGACATTTCTCAAAATCACCTTTCTGTAGTTTCTAAGCTTTAAATGTGGCTATTGTACTCTAAATTAACATCTTACTGCTTGATAGCTTCTGGATAATTGACAACAAACTAACTTTCACAGAGTAATCTTGTATGTCTTGTATGCTGTTTCAGACACATACTTCTCATTTTCTTGTTATGGCTAGTCTACTCCTCAGGCTCTTGAAATAGGCTTTGCAGTCTTGGCACTTCTGTGTCTAAATCCTTGGCTCAGATGTGCATGCATTCGTTTATTCATTAAAAATTCAAAACAGATGGAAATGCAAAAAAAAATTAAAAATACAGTCATTTCTTCAGTTCTTCTCAATGGGAGTTTTAGTAGTCACTCAGGAAGCATATCATATCACAGTGTCAAAACTTCATAATCTAGCCAGACAAGATTAGAGAGAAACATGCTCGCAACTGAAATCAGCTTTATTCATTTTGCATTCACACTGTTTTTTTTTGTAAATGAGACAGTCCTTAGACTTCTACATTGCTGGCTCTCAGAAGTGCACAGTCAGACTTGAAAGAGATGCTTCTGGCTCAAAACACAGCTGAAACCTCACCAGATTTAGAAGAAATTAAAGTTTTATGGTATAGAGATGACACAGTGCCATCCATGTGCAGTCTGAAGGTTTTCATGTATCTATTGTATATCACAGAATCCTAAATGATGTCTGCAACATGCTCCGTACATATCATGGAGGAAAAGAATTGACTCAAAATCTAAAAATTGTCTGCGTAGATGCACAATCTGTTAAAATCAACAGTTTTCAGTTACCAGTTCCTGTAGAATTTTTTTCATCAATAAAGCGTTCAATGAGGGTTTTGATGTCCTTATTTAAAACCTGAAATTCTCACAAAACCTTTCAAGAATATGTTGTATTTCATCCCAAAATTTAAATAAATAAATCAATCTAAATTAGGTAAAATTAACCTTAATTTTAGAAACATTAAGAACTTTAAGATTTGTATTACATTAAAATTTCCCCACACACAAATGTATAACCAGCTCATCTTATTCAAAATCAAAAGTGCAGTAAAAACAGTGAAATGTCTAAATTATTTTTTCATTTTATGGCAAAGCTGAATTTTCAGCAGTCATTACTCCAGTCTTCTGTCACATGATCCTTCAGAAATCATTCTAATATTCTGATTTGATTTGAACATTATAAATGTCTTTACTGTCACTTTTGATGAATTGAATGCATCCTTGCTGAATAAAAGTATTAATTGCTTTAAAAAAAAAATATTTCTGACCTCAAACCTTTTAACAGTAGGCTAGAGTATATAACAAATTTTAAATTTATATAATTTTTGTGGAACGTATAAAGATATTAATAAATCTCACAAAGCCTGTTAAAAACATGCAAAATACGACCCAGACATGTTTTTGTTTCATTTACATTATATACTTCATATGCATTATTTCAGACTTAGGGTCTGTAGACTAAGCGCATGACTTTATTCTGCAAACGCAGTCTTATTTTTAACAAGAGGAACACATTATCTGTTCAAACACTAAGCATGCAGCATGCCAAATGTGTGCTTAAGATCTCTTTGTGCACCCAGCTGTCAATGGATTCAGGATCCGTGTGTGTTTTTATCCTCCACTGATTTTATTGAGAGGGTATCAAGCAAGCACCTGTAAATGACAGAGCCTTCTCTTTTGTTCAGCTTTATTCATACATGCATCTAATCTACGTTATCAATCTCATGTGGAGGCAGACAAATAAAGACCAAATTATTACCTTGTCTAAGTATTGTGTTTGCAGAAGTGCTGACCTGTCAGTATTTCATTTAAAAGCTTGTTTGGTTTGTGGCAGATTACACCAGGGAGCAAGGCAGCCTCCAGCAACCTGATCCAGGGTGACATCATCGTGGCCATTGATGGGGTCAGCACAGAGGGGATGACACACCTGGAGGCCCAAAACAAGATCAAGTCTGCCAACTTCAGTCTGGCCCTTACCATGCAAAGGTACAGTGCATTGTTAGTGTTTTGGAGCTGTGTGTGTAATTGTTCAAAAACGTTTTGGAAAGATGTCTCTTATGCTCACCAAGACTGTATTTATTTGAACGAAGTACAGTAAAAGCAGTAATATTGTGAAATATTATTACAATGTAAAAAAACAAAACAACAACACTTTTTTATTTTAATATAATTAAAATGTAATTTATTCCTGTGATGGCGAAGCTGAATTTTCAGCAGACTTTACTTCAGTCTTCAGTGTCACATGATCCTTTAGAAATCATTCTAATTCTAACATTTAAATTTTAAAAATGAGTATTACTTCTCTCTGATGCATTTGTGTATTATAGTACCTGCCAAAACCTTTTGAAACCAGGAAGGATGTGGCAGTGCTTGGAAATTCAGTATTGTGTATGACACATGTAGGGTCTGTAGAAATGTGAGCGATGCCTCTTGGATAGAATTGGAGTTTCTTCTATTCTGGTGAAGGTAATAAAATGATCTGCCATGTTTACACTGTGATCCACACTGATATTTGGGCTGCAACGTGATCTCATGATAATTCGTATGTATTTTACGTAACGTGATTCTATAAAACGTACATTTACTTACGTTTTTACAGGCACTAAAACGTACAATACTGACGTATTTTCAGCATTTAAACGTACAAAATCGACGTATTGACGACACCTAAAAATGAATCCTTATGAATATTGAAATCGCGGCATTCATTTTATTAGTTTTTAGTTGTCATATGAATTAGCTTGTTTTCAATTGCATTATTAAATTGTTACATTTCGTTTTGTTGTGTGATTTCTGCTGCCAGCTCGTTTCCAAGAATATGCCTACATAATGTTAAACAAGACTTCACTTTAAACCTTAAAATAAATAACATTTCTGCAATCGTTTAACCTTTACTTGTCATATAAATGTTTACTTTGATTGCCGTAGGCCACAAAAGGCGTTTTTTCCCAACATGCTGTGACTAACAATAGAACTATAAAATACACCAAAAACGCAACATAATTACGAAATGAAACAATTTTATT